AAAAATCCATCTTTTATTGCTCATTAAGAACAATAAATTGACAAGGACTTGGTCCTTTATTGTAATTCATCATCGTCTATTTTATGGTATAAGTATATAGTTAATAATTTTTTCATTTTAAAAATAATTTTAATTTAATATTACTTATTAAAATAATTCCTAATTAGAGACCTATAATGTAAAAAGAAAAAAGTTTTGCGGCTAACTGGATTCCCAATTGATTTGTCTGACTTTTTTCTCCATTAAAATTCTAAACTAATTACATCTTAATCCCGTCTCTGTCATTTTGTCTATCATTGAGGCCACTCTTATATTGTGTTTATTCGTTTCTAAGCATATCTTTCTTAGTATGTTCATAGTTTCATTTGAATATCCTTATTTACACTATTTTTATCTTCTGAATGTGCGAGCTCTTGATTGATTATTACTTCATTTCGATACAACATAGTTGATCTATTAATCACTTTATGAAACTTACCTTTAGTGGAGTTCTCTTATACTATCATGCAAGACATTGGCTAAATACGAGCCTCTTTTCATTTATCCCACTCTAATATAATGTGTTACATCATTGTCAATTTCCAATTTATTTGTTTATTGACATAAGATTCATAAAACTTTTTTTTTTTTTTTTAGAGATAACTTGTGCATCAATTCTTATTGCACTTACATGTGGTACTCTATTTTAGTCATGTTCAATCTAAACCTTTTATACTTTAAAAATAGTTAATTTTGTCCATATCTCATCAATGTATACTTTGTGTCTGCAAATAGAATTCACTATGATAGCTTCTTTTAGATATGTCACATCAGTTAGATATTAGCATGATATGATAGTTACCAAATACCACATTGAAATTAAAAATTGTAATGCTTCAATTTCAATATTATAATATTTGATATATATTTTTAAAATTTTGATATTCGATATTTATAAAAAAACATATTGAAATCATATAAAATTATATATATAATTATATACACATCTTAGTCTAATATTAGAAAATATATAAAATAATAATAATACAAAAATTAATTATTTAGCGGTCCATCCCATGTTACATGCTCGTATGAAGCATGTTGAACTTGATTATCACTTCATATAAAAAAGATATCCAAAGAGCTATGGTAATCAAATTTGTTCCTTCCTCACAACAAATCGCCAATATTAATTTATAATTTATTAGACTCTAATAAGTTAGAATTGTGATCTGCTAGGAATACGTTTGTGTATACTTCTCACTACATCAACTTGTGAGACATGAGTTTTAACATCAAATTTACGAAGAATAACTTATTTCAATTGTCACTTTCTTCAAGTATGATGTAATTGAGATTTTTTTTTTTGAAAAAGGCAAAATGATAATTTTCTATCATATGAGTTTATCTAAGTCATAGTCGAACAAATTATAGCTACTGATTTATTATACTGTAAAAATCAAAATCGAACTTAATGGTTTTGAACTGTACCGAATTAATAATTTGATATTGTAATGGTATAGTATTTTTAAAACGGCAAGATTACCAAATCAATTTTTTTAATACCGTACCATATCATACCATGTCCATTCCTAGTATTAGTTCACCTATTTCAAAGATAAATAAAAATTGGGTAGGAGCCGATACTGGAAATAATAATAAAAGTACTTAAAATAACTTAAGAATATTAAGACAAAAAAAACTAAACTTTTGATTAATACCGTTCTTGTAAGAATATATTATTCGTACCACAATGATCTTCTATAAAAGCGATAACTAAAAACTAAGAACAACTATGGACCCAAATCTTGATTTTAATCGGCCTATTATAAATATTGTTTAAGATTCCCTTTTATATTCAACTGAATTAGAAAATATAAAACATAAATTAAAACATTTTATTTTCTTCCTTTTCTGAATACTAAAAAGATTAGAGAATACAAAAACTTTAAACATTACCTAAGATTCCTCGTATATTTTAGTGAATTGAAAAATGTAAATAGACATAAGATGAGTTTATGTCCAAATATAAGGATTTTTAAAAATAATCAACATTCGACAATATAAATAATGTGTTGAATAAGAGAATTATAAGTGTTCCACCGTATATTTAAAGAACAATTATGAGTCTATGTCCAAACTTAAGGATTACTTTTTTAAAGAAAATAATCGACGATATTGAAAATGTTGAGTAAGAGAACTATACTCTACCATATAGTTAAGAGACAATTATGAGTTTATGTCCACACTATTTTAGATTTTTAAAATAATAATCATTTAATAGAGGCGTATTCAGGATTTCGGTAAGATGGGTGCACGATTACAAAAACGTTCATCTTAAAGATAAATTTTATCGGTTTGACTTTTAGGTTTTTAATATGAACCATTAAATTTTAAAAATTATAGGTCAAAAATATATAATACTACTAGTTTTAAATTTTAATATACACATTTAATTTAATTATATAATAATTTTACCATGCTAAATTTTTTAGGAATTTTTGATGTAACACACTTGAAAATTTTGAAAGATTAAAGAAAAAAAAACAAAAGAAAAATTAGTTGAAACGCCAAAAGTGTAACCGATAACCATTTGGGAAGTTGTTATTAAAAAAAGACAAGACAAATCTAAGATATAAGTTTCTATCCTCACCTAGAGAGGTGCACCCAATCATCATCAAATAATATATGATACTTTAAGCATGGGTTCACACTTCTATATTTAATTTTTTTCTTAAAAATATAACACTACTATATATGATCTAGAGAGGGAAGCATGGGTTCACGTGAACCCACGACACCCCCTCTAGATACGCCCCTAATAATCAATAGTAACGATGTACTGAATAGGTTGACTATTTGTGTACTCATATATTTAAGGGACGATTTTATAATCATCGATATTAATGATGTCCCGAATAGGGTGATTATAAGTGTTCCATCATATATCTGAGAATGATTTTGTGTTTATGTTCAAATCTACGAGATTATTTTTAACTTTCTTAAAAATCATTGATATTAATGATAATTCGTCAGAGGATTATTAGTGTGCTGCCAAATACTTGAGGGACGATTTTGAGTTAATGTCCAAACTTGAGTAAAAAATAATCTTTGATACTAATGATGTTTGTGTAGGAGGACTATAATGGTTCTATCATATATTTAATGGGCGATTTTAGACTTTTGTTCAAACCTGAGGGATTATTTTGGATTTTCTAATAATCTTTAAGGACTAGTTTGTATTTTTTAAAAATAATTGTCGATACTAATGATGTTCGTATAGAAGGACTATAAGTGTTCTATCATGTATTTATGGGCAATTTGAGTTTATGTCTAAACTAAGGGACCAATTTAAGCTTTTTAAAGAAATATTGATACTAACGGTGGACTGAGTAGGAGGACTATAAGTGTTCCATCATATATTTAAGGGACGATTTTGAGTTTCAAACTTAAGAGACTATTTATGTATTTTTTAAAATATATCAATATCAACGATGTTTAGTAAGTGGACTATAAGTGTTTCACCGTATATTTGAGGGACAATTATGAGTTTACGTCCAAACTTGAGGGATTATTTTGAGTTTTTTTAATAATTTTTGAAACCAACGAGGTTCATGTAGGAGGACTATAATTGTTCTATCGTATATTGAATGGGTGATTTTAAATTTTTCTTCAAACTTAAGGGACTGTTTTGTATTTCCTAATAATATTCGATACCAACGAGGTTCGTGTAGGAGGACTATAATTGTTCTATAGTATATTTAATGGGAGATTTTAAATTTTTATTTAAACTTAAGGAACTACTTTGTATTTCCTAATAATATTTGATACCAATGAGGTTCATGTAGGATGACTATAATTGTTTTATCGTATATTTAACAAGCGATTTTAATTTTTTCTTCAAACTTAAGGGACTATTCTGTATTTTCTAATAATATTCAATACCAACGATGTTCATGTAGGAGGACTATAATTGTTCTATCGTAGATTTAATAGTCGCTTTTTAATATTTCTTCAAACTTAAGGGGTTATTTGTATCTTCTAATAATATTCGATACCAACAAAGTCCGTGTAGGAATACAGTAATTGTTCTATCATATATTTTAGAGGCGATTTTAAATATGTCTTCAAACTTAATGGACTATTTTATATTTTCTAATAATCTTCTATACCAACAATGTTAGTGTAGGAGGACAATAATTGTTCTATCATATAATTAACGGGCAATTTTAAATATTTCTTCAAACTTAATGGACTATTTTATATTTTCTAATAATTTTCTATACTAACGAGATACGAGTAAGAGGACTATAATTGTTCTATCTTGTATATAACAGTCATTTTATTTTTTTCTTCAAATTTAATGGACTATTTTGTATTTTCTAATAGTATTCAATATCAACGAGGTCCGTTTAGGAGGACCATAATTGTTCTATCATATATTTAACAAGTGATTTTAATTTTTTTTTCAAACTTAAGGGACTATTTTGTATTTTCTAATACTTTTCGATACCAACGAGTTTCGTTTAGAAGGACCATAATTGTTCTATCCTATATTTGACTGGCAATTTAAAACTTTTCTCAAAACTCAAGGGACTATTTTATATTTTCCAATACTTTTCGATACCAACGAGATTCGAGTAGTAGGACTAGAACTGTTCTATCGCATACTTAACGTGCGATTTTGAGTTTTTCATTAAAATGAAAGGACTATTTTGTATTTCCTTATAGTTTTCGATATGAACAAGGCTCGTTTAAAAGGACCGTAACTGTTCTATCCTACTTTTAACGGGCGATTTTATTACCTTTTTCAAACTAAATGGATATGTTTGTAATTATTTTGTACTAATCTCGTTCAAAACAAAGTAAAAATATATTTAAGTTAATTATTTTTAAGTAGTTGAAGGGTGAGAGTAGTAATTAAGAAATAAATAAGGTAAATAATGACAAAATGAATTAGCCACGTAGCAGTTTACTCCAGGAAAAATACAGAGGAAAAACAATACCAGTGAGTTCATAGTTTTTTCATAAGAGCAAAAAACATGTGTTAATGCTTCAGTTTTTTTTGAGGTAATCAACTATTTCTCTCTCTAGTTTTCATTTGCAATTCTTGATCAAGCTCAATTTGGGTTAGTTTTTCTGCTTCTTTTGATGGTTTTAATCGGAATTTTCAGTTTTTTTTTTGCTTATAGACGTGTTTTTTTTTGGTCGGTTACAATTTTTTTATCTTGCTAATTAATTTGTGTGGAAGTGTGGCATTTGGTTAGAAGAAGAAATTTTTAGTGGGGTTTTGTTGGAGTTCATTTTTATGATCATTGATCATTGTTTTCATTTATATCTAACTTGAATTTAGGGCTTTTTGTTTGTTTTTGTAGGTGTTTCCAGTTGTTGTGAAGTTTTTGTGAAAGGTAAAGTTTTGTTTTTATTAGTGAATTGCATTTTTTAATGTTTTTTATACCAGTTGCATGTTGATTCTCACTGAAAAAATGTTAAAGAGTGTTTTTTTATGTTTATATCTAGTGTTTGTGTGTGTTCATTTTGGAATTAACTTAAATGGGGATATAGAAGAGTGGTTTTTCAAAATGGGGATGTTCTTGATTGTTTTGGAAGGAAAATAAAGGTGAAAAAATCTTTTGAAGTTTTTTTTTTTTTTTTTTTTTTTAAAATGTCTATATCTAGTGTTTGTGTGTGTTCATTTTAGAATTTACTTAAATGGGGATACTAAAAGAATGGTTTTTCAAAATGGGGATGTTCTTGATTGTTTTGGAAAGAAAAAAAAAAAGTGAAGAATTTGAAGGTTTTAAATTTATATACCAAGTGTTTTGTTTGAATGAAATGGTGTCTAAATGGAGTGAAATGGTGGACAAAAACACTTGGTGGTTTCTTCGTATCTGTCTGAGCATTGGTAAGGTTAATCACCTGTGTGTATGGGAGGTAGGAGGTAACCGGTGAAACAATCGAGGTGTGTGCAAGCTGGATTGAACACCACCGTTTCTAAGAAAAAAAAATAATCAAGTTCTTGCTTGATCAAAAAAGGGAAAGGGAAATGAAAATGAAATGAAAAAGAAAAAGGATTTTGAGAGTCAACCCTAATTAATTTGGGAGTGAAGATTTTGGGCATTTTTTTCTTGACTAACAGTTGTTGAATTTTACTTGGAACTTTGAAAGATGTTTGATCAGTGTATATTTGTTTGTTTTTTTAGTTTTTGAGGTTATGCCTTACAAAAAAAAGGTTTCCGAAGTTGTTTTTGCCTTGGTTAACCTCAGTCATCAGGGTTTGTTGAATTTATAAACTACTGGTTTGAAATACAAGTGTTGTTCCTTGTTACGATTGTCTTTAGGCATTTCCCTTAGGAACCTAACTTCCTATCTGCTCGACTTTTCTAAAGCTTTTTGTTCTATGAGCTAACAAGGAAAGAAAAGCAAATCTTTGTCCAGCTAGCTGAACTCCGTGATAAAAGGTTCAGCTAAAAGTCACTCTGTGTGGAACTACTACAGCTAGCTCAACATCGTGATACAAGTTCTTTATCTAGTATATCTCATATTGAGTCTGATGACTTTTGAGTTTTGAAACATCTTCATATCAATCCATGAATGATGGAGCACACCTTATGTGGATGCTACTTGTTCTGACCTTTTTCTACTCTTTTGTAGTTTTTACTAACCGTTTGGCAAGTTTGACTTAACCTGTAAGGGAAATCAGATAACTTTGGTACCTGATAGTTACCTCTATACTACCCAATGCTTTTTTTCTTCTTGTCACTTATACAATCATTTATACTAAGTTTCGTATCCTCTCTATGATCATTCCTTTTTTCTTTGTTTGAGCTCATCACTGTCATGTGGACTTTTGTAGACTTCAAGAGTATTTGGTTTTTGATTGGCTAAGGGAGTAAAGGTGGCCTTTTTACAACTGTGAATTGTGAAGGTTTATCTTGGTTGTCAATTTTGTCACAACTTCTTTTCTGAATGGCAATCAAATAAACGAAGGGTACTCTTTCATGTTTACAATTATCTAGTCCATTAGGAGGTTTCAAGGAAGGAGGTCTTGTCACGTTAACATGTATTTAGGGGAAGTTTTATTTCCCTTATTTAATCATGTTTCCTATATCCGGTTTTACTATTTTTCTTATTAAAAGTACATTGCAGTAGTCTGTATGACAGATTTCCTTACAATAGTAGATGCATGAATTGCTTCTTCTTATCGTCTCTGTTGTCTGTTTAAGAATGGTATGAGTATTCATTAGTGCTTATAAAAAGGAAGGATGGTGAATAGTTACATATAGGCTTAGCTGGGAAGTTGTTGCAGATTACGAGCATATTATTCATCTGGAGATAAGACTATGTTCTGTAGTCTTTGCAATGTAATAATGTCAATGATACGTATCTAGGTCAGAATTTTGGTTTCTAAGAAAATTCGGTAAAATGGTATGATGAGTGAAAATCTTTAATGCTAGCTGCAAATGGTCTAGTCAGTCAGTTGAACTTCACAAGGCTACATTTTGATGAAGCCTTACGGCTGGTGCTTGAGTAATGGGAGTAGTAACGGAAGTACATCTGATTTATCTCTTCCCCCTTTCTAAAGTAAAAAAAAAAAAGAGGGCAAGAAAGTTTTCCATCTTAAAGATATTCTTTTCATGGGTAGTGAACTTGCTGTTCTTAGAGTCGTAATAGTAGCTTGCTGTCTATTCACGTGCCATATTCGCTTTGTCTAATTCCCGCTTCTCTTTCTTCATGGCTTGGTTACTCTTTTCCTAATGTAACAATTGCATATCAAGAAAACAATTTATGCTTGGGTTCTATTGTTGCATGGTGAATGTCTATGATGGTTTGTGTTACGTAAGTAAACTTCTGAATTTAAGAGGATAATCCTAAAACTTTTGAATGGGATCTTGTTAACTTTACAGTTACTTTTGAAGTGTGCCTTTTGAGATGAATGCCAAGAAAAATTTACATATTAGCATTGAACTTTAAGTTTAATTAAATTGTATCATATCAGCTGGCAGTTATTGAGTTTATGTGATCTCTTAATGCATGTATTGGCATGTAGTTTTGCATGACGGTTTATTCTTCTCTGACCAGATATTATCCACAAGATTCTACTCGATATCATGGGGGAAAGGAATACGCCCCACAGTAATCACTTTATGACTTTGGGAGCAGATCAGCGGAGTCAAGCGTATATTTATCCAGAGCCTTGTATGACGTATGGGAGCTTTACAGCTTTTCCGCATCCAAACGTTAACACCACTGTGCCAGCTCCAGGAAGCCTTGGTAATTTCTATGCGCCCCATCTACCATGCCATCAAGAGGGTGCTCTAATTTATGGGATGCCACCGGCCAATGGGATTCAACAGTGGCATCATCTCACCAATGCTGGCGCAGCGTTTGCACCGCCATCAAATTACTTTTACCCTTATGTGGCAGCTCCAGCTGCATTGAGGACTTCTCCAGTTCCAGCAAATCATGGGTTACGTGATAGGCTTTCAGTCTCAAGCACTCAGGGAAGCATCGGAAATAATGCAGATAACTTAGGTAGGAACGATCCTCGTATGGACAGTACCAGAGGGTCATCTAAGCAAAAGAATGTTGCAGGCAACTCTGGAAATCTTCAGCATCATTCTGCTCTGGCAGGGCCTAGTACTTCCGCTGCTCCCGTCATCACAACAGCAAATGAATCTGATGTTTCTTCGAATGATTCTGTATCACGCGAGCATGGAGGGAGTGACTCAGCACCACTCCTTGAAAATGGTACTACATCTGCAACTATGGATTTGCCAGTTCCAGCAAATCATGGGTTACGTGATGGGCTTCCAGTCTCAGGCACTATAGATGATTCTGTGTCACGCGAGCATGGAGGGAATGACTCAGCACCACTCCTCGAAAATGGTGCTGCATCTGCTACTATGGATTCACCAGTTCTAGCAAATCATGGGTTACGTGATGGGCTTCCAGTCTCAGGCACTACAGATGATTCTGTGCCACGCAAGCATGGAGGGAGTGACTCAGCACCACTACTTGAAAATGGTGCTGCATCTGCAACTATGGATTCGCCAGTTCTAGCAAATCATGGGTTACGTGATGGGCTTCCAGTCTCAGGCACTACAGATGATTCTGTATCACGCGAGCATGGAGGGAGTGGCTCAGCACCACTCCTTGAAAATGGAGTACAGAGAAGTTGGAGCAGATTTGCTAGTGGTCTAGATACTGTATTGCAAAATAACAATAATCATCTGCTTCAAGGAAACTATGCAGGCCAAGCCTATCAGTTTCCTGGCAATCCTTGGCTGAACATGCCTTTCAATAGTAGTGGTAGTGCAGCTCAATCTTGGGCCTGGAGTCAGGCTGCTCCTTTAACCTATCCTCCCGGTAACTACTCTTCTTGTTTTAATTTACATTTATGACTTTTGAGTGTATATTCAGCTAACGTATTTGTTTGATAGGTTATCTTCTCCCCTTCATCAAAGTTTTCATCAATTTTTTTGTTCTTCTAAATTTTGTTTTCTTATGAGCTATATTAGCATGCTGCCAAGTTGAACAATGCATATTTCAGCTGTCTTTTCTTTTACAAATTTAAAAGCGACAATACACTTGAAACACATCTTAATTCTTTCCTTTTGCATCTTCACATTTTATGTGGCATACGTCTCCTTTTTTCCATGTTTATTACCTAATGGTTATTTCATTTCATTTTCTAATAATCCAGTAAAGCCTTTGTTTTTCTCTTTCATCAAATTAGCAACAGCAATTTGTGATCTTTATTCTAAGTGTCAGAATAACATATTAACTGATTGCATCTTTCTTCTGCTTACTTTAGTTGGTGCCGGAGGCTATGTAATAGGTGCTGGAAACATGGCTATGCGAGGTTATCAAGTACCTTCCAGCAACGGGGGTTTGACTGGTTTCATGTATCCACCCATTCCTCAAGGACCACCGCAGTACCATCCTCATCTGTCACCTAATATGCAAACTATGGCAGGCCACACAATGAGCTCCTATCCTCAGATGACAGCATCTCCAGGCAGACAACTACAACTTAGTTCGTCCAATATGGGACCCTTGCTTCCGTCTGGCTTTAGAATGTACAGACCTCATCAAAGGGAATTCATGATGCGTGGAACAAATGGTAGCCACCACAACCTCCGTAATGTAAGAGTTTTGCCACAAGTGTAAAATTTATTGCATTTGAATAGTTCTTCCTGTTATCTTTATCGTAGTGCAGTTTCGTGCAGTTGAAGTAATGGGAGTGGATGTTGTATCTCTTTCTTTGTGATTTTACTAGGGAGTGTCAATGCTGGGTGTTCCAAGATTTCGTGGAGTGCATGTTGTTGATCAGCACAGAGAAATGCGATTGGACGTGGATCGCATGACGTATGAGGTAAGTGCAATTGTAGGTTATTTCATATTTGCATGTTTGATATTTTCGGCAAACTTATCCTGAAATATCAAATATCTATCCAGGAGCTTCTTGCATTGGGGGAGCGAATTGGCAATGTGTCAATTGGTTTGTCCGAGGATATCATCGTTGCCAATTTGAAAACGAGAATATTTTTGTCTACCGAGACTCGTAGCCCTCTGGAAAATGTTGCATCTGATCAAGACCAGAAAACTGTCTGTGTAATATGCCAGGTATTACTCCTTCGCTGACTTACACTCTACGTAATGTTTATATTTCCATTTTCTTCCCAAGTCTTAAATTCATCAAAACATTGTCATGAATCTTTATAAGGTTTCCTTATCAGGCACAGTCTCACCTCGGCCTCTATGTTGTGATTTTCTTTCTTCTTTGAACTTTGCATCTTATTTTTTGTTTCTTTGAGATAGCTCTAATGACTTCATATTTACACGCGTTATTGCAGGCTGACTTCAAGGATGGGGAGATGATCGGCATTCTCAATTGTGGCCATGAGTACCACGAGGAATGCGTGAAGAAATGGCTGGGTGTGAAGAACAGCTGCGCGATCTGCAAATCTGCAGCCTTGTCTACTGAGAAGAAGGACAAGGAAGTGGTGACTACAGGAGGCGGCTAATGTCGCCATATATAATTTAAACCTCCAAGATGTAGAGTTGTTGCTGAAACTGTATTATAAACTTGTATATACTTTGCGCAGCAGTCCATCTCTCGAAAACATTTACCTGTTGAACCTTAACCTTAAATCTGTAAAACATTAAGTTGTACAGACTTGTACTTCTTGTTCAATCTTGCATGTTTGTTGTTAAATCTTGCATGTTCGTTGTATTCATGTGTTCTGTTGATATCTTGTGTTGCAGGGAGGAATGTAGGTTGTACATCAACCTCAACTTAACGGTACATAGTCTTACTCCTACCTTGTGAATGAATGGTTGATAGATTGTTTCTGATAGATCATTGGCTCAAGTAGTTTATATAGTAGTGAAGTAGCCATATATATTGAAGTAGAAAATAATAGTTTGTTCCGTCAAGTTTCTAAAATCAACTATTTTTAAAGGATTTTATTTTTTGGTAAGAAGTTGTTTGTGTTTGGTTAATTAATTTTAAAATTACGTTTGAATAGCAATTAGTTTTTGACGATTTTTTTCCTAATGCTTCTATAGTGTATTTTTCTCTCTACAGAAGCATTTATTTCCTTTCAAAAGTTTGACCAAACACCGTATTTTTCTAAAATAAGCATTTTGAAAAGTGAAGTAGCCATATATATCGGATAGAAAAATCATAGTTTGTTTGGTCAAGTTTTTAGATCAACTATTTTGGGAAGTATTATTTAAGAAAATATTTTTGGTGAGAAGTTTGTGTTTGGCTTATAAATTTTAAAAGTGCTTCTTATAAAGTGTATTTCTCTTAAAACTATTTTTCAAAAAATAATGATTTTGGAATTTGCTTTTATGTTTTTAGCTTCTGAAAAATAACTACTCTACTTCAAGAGGATTTATTTTGTCCCATAAATTTGATCAAACGTCTTACTTTTCTAAAATATTGAAAAAAAAAGCTTATCCTTTCAAAAGTTTGACTAAACAAACTATTATAAGTTCGCTTAAATATTGAAGGGTTTTTGTAGAGGTAGATATAACTGGTTATTTATTCAGAGAAGTGATGCTTGAATTGAATAAACTATAATTCAAGTAATATATACCCCTAATCTAGTATATATATAAATATGAATTTAAACATTACACTTAACTGGCCGTAGTGGAAATATAAATTTTATTCCTAACAAGTAACAAAAGTATTATTTTTTTAAGAACTATAAAAGACATTATAATAATTTATATAAAATACAGATATATTTCGTAAATACAAAATACGTCCATTTAGAATAAGAGAGATCATAAATATTCTATAGTTACAAACATATTTTCCATTTAGAATAACATTATATTGGAATATATTTCTACTTATATGATTTTATAAAAGCTAATCTAAGGATATTAACTAAACATAAATGTAAAAGAGAGACGCTCTAATTTGTCTTTATGAACATAAAGGCGCTTAATAGTGAACTAGAAGACATGAAAATGAATAATTTGGTAAGACACACGAGCATGGGAACTATGGCATCATAGCAATAATGCAGAATTCCATCACAGCTCAACAAGCACCAGACCACACATTCAAAGACTCAAATACTAAAGATTTATCAAACCAATATCTTAAAATTTGAAGTGATAGGTTAATTATCCAAAAAATTAAACTGTTTTAGACCTCTTATTTACCTTGATTCTTTCATGATCCAAAAGTGATAAAAACACTCTTCAATTTCTTTCCTAAATCATCTTCCTGGCCTTCTTTTGCTCTTCTTTTTCTTTGATGCAGGCTAGGATGTCGGGCAGCCTTGGTTGCTGCATGTCTGTTGTCTTCTGTTTCAAATATAAAAAAATCATTAGTTATTTACACAGTTACAAAATATGAATTAATTGAACAAAATAACATAATAAATAAATTCTTAATTCAGTATAGATTATTGTTTTGTTTGTTGACTATCTTTCATGTTTGTCTTGTAAAATGATTTAATTGGATCTTGTATGTTGTCTAACTTATGATTTGGTAACTGTGCTTTTTCATTTGGCCGTCACAAGCATCGTTGTTTCAAAGTAGAATACAATGATGCTTCAAAGTAAAATAGAACAGGTAAGTCACAGTAATCTTTAGGCTCAGATTGCTTGTTGTAATTGCTCATTCATTTCATTGTGTTACAATCTGGCATTAACACTCTTTAAGCCCCTCATTATGTACTTGTCTTAAAGTTGGATCTATGTCACAGGACTTAATGGCTTTATTAGCTTATAATGAAGCATTTACTTGGTCTCTATTTTTGTATCTCTGATGTCGTAATTTCTAATGACCTTTAGTTCTCCCTCTTCTGATGTCATGTTGGTGGCAGCAAATTCAAACCTCCATAGAATGCCAAACATGGAAATCTCAGCAGAAGTTGTTTTTGTTAAGGAGATTTAAAAATTCTAAGCGTGTAGTTTGTTTTACAGAATAATCATTTATCTTTCTGCTACTTAGTTCTATCCATCTGGCATAACAAGTCTCTTAAAAGCTCTCTCTCACAAGTTTACTTAGTCTGTTTTTTGGTATTTTTTTTATGTTAATTTCCCTTTTTTGATGTCATATTGGTGGCAGTGAATTCAAACATCACTACAGAATTATACTAACTTGCATATTGTTGTTGGGATTGTTGCAACTGAAGCTTCATGTAAGTGTGCACTTTGCAGTTGTACTCAGATTGGATAAATATTTGATTGTAGAACTTTTTTTACGCACATCGTATAACATGTATATTTATGATATCATAGTTTCAAATAATAATCACACTCAACTTTTAATTAATTGTAAATACCTTTTTGGGAAGTGAAATCAAATTGATTGTACATTGGATAAAAGAAACAAAACTCTCAAAATTTTATACTTATCAAATGCAAATTAGAGTTAAATAAAAATGACATTTAATTACTTTTGTGTAACAATTGTTATATACTTGACCTCTAGTAAATGCTTATGTCAGCTAATTTACAACTTTTTATAGTAAGTTGATATGAAATTATGAAATGTAGTTAAAGTCTTGTTTAGACATATGATTTGAAGTTTTTCTGTTGTATATTTTTTTTAAAAAACATAAGAATCTCATAAATTATAAAACTATTACAATAGTCTCAATTATTTATTTAATCTTACCAAATAAACAAAAATTTATAGAATCGCATAATAAATTATTACAAAGCCATTGTGGTCTGTCTTGTTCACTCAATATAGATGAAAAAAACTATTTTTTTTATTAAACATTAAAGTAGTAGTAATAAATTTGGTTGATAATAAATTTGATAAAAAATAATGAATTTGATGAATATGAATGATAAAGTAGGAATTGATTTAAAGTAATAATAAATTTTATGTTGGTGAGAATAATAAATTTTAAAAAGTAATGATATGATTATAAATTTTATTTAACATATGAAATAATGGTCAGTAGATATAAATGTGAGATTGTTTTAACAAAATATAAACTTGTGGATTAATTTACGTATTTGAAAATTTTCAAATCATCATATGAAATTCTCAAATCATGATGTTCGAAGAATATAGAATTTCATCTCATGATATGAAATCAACCTAAAATCACATATCCAAAAAAACACTTGAGTTGGTGTATTACATTTGTCTCCCCATAAGTTGATGAAATTATGCTAAAATAGGACCCACTCTTTTATTATTTATACATTTAACAACCTTTGGTTTTAGTGTGTCCCCTCAACAAAAAAGTTAATTGTCGGAATGGTCCTTCAACTTTTGGGAACTTTTCATTTAAGTATATAATTTGTGATTGAAATGAACAAGTAGGGTCCTGCTGGCTCCTCCCACGTGCAATAATGTTACTTTTGTGTCCTATGGGCTATATTATTTTCATGTACGGACCCCTCTTTGAGATTTTTCTTGGGATCTTCACCAATCCAAAATTTTAGAAAATTTTTTAAAGACAATTATGGTGAGGAACATTAATTATTAATTAACTAAAATATATTAGCCAACAGAATCTTTGTTGCTTATTTAACAAAAATGGTATTTCTTTCTGGATTGCACATGCTAATCTCCTTGGATTGTCATGATCTACTATCTCTTTTTTTTAAAAAAAAACTTTAAATCTTTGTTATATTAGTTCCATCATCATTCAAAGTATGAAACTTACGAAATAGTAATAGTTTGGAGTTCTATGTGTTAATTTTAAGTTTAAATAATTGAAATGTATCTTGTAGAGATAGTTAAGATGCATGCAAGTTAACTTGGACATCAGAGCTATCAAAAATATATATAACTAAGTCCAAATGACACATAACGTGTTAGCAACACATTTTAGGTATCTATGAGTATGAAATACTACACACATTAACAAATATTGAGTTGAAGGGGGTTTTAACCTTGAAAGTTATAATATATGGGATAACAGAAAAATCCAATAATTGAATATGCCAATATTTTTTCATTTATAAATCTATGTGTAATCATTGGTGTTTGAAATTGATCGATCTGATTAATTTAAGTTGTCATAAAAAGTCCATTATGAAAGATTATAGTCTTAAAAAAAAATCAGAGTTCAACTTAAATTCTAAACTTCTTATTAAATTTAGAGAATTCTTTATTGTTCTTTCACAAATCTTGGCGGTAGATATTTTATCTTCTATTTTTGAAATATCATTTTTTAACACCATAATGAAATATAAATATGAATTTAGTGGAAAGGAAATAATCCCTCAAGATTCTAAATTAACCGCGTTCGAATATAAAAAGTCGTGAACTTAAAATCAAGAATATGCTCCAAGACTAATTATTTACTCTTTAAAAAGATAGCACAAAGTATTTCGTATTAATAGGGTTTCAGAAAAAATCGCATCCTAAGATAATATATAATGATATAGACAACTTATTCTAGTACAATTATTAATTAGTTGCATTGGTCGAACTCACGATATAGCATAAAAAAATAGCTTTCGTATCGTGACATATATATTATATTAAGATAAACTTTCATTACTTCAACGCTCCCCTTCTAATATT